AAGATACATAGAAGACAGAATAAGAAGGTCTGGCATATGTCTAATCAGAGTTCCAGAGGGAAAGAGAGATGGGGAGTGGGGACAGAGTCACTACACTGAAGCCATAGTTGAAGAGCGGAAAGCTGAGAATTTTCCAAAACTGCTGCAGGTACCAGTCCATAAACTCAGGAAGCTCGGAGTACCCCAAAGAGGATAAATAAAAAGAAATCTGTACGTTTACATGGGAGTAAAGCCGTCAAATCTCAGAGGCAAAGCAAAAGTTTTAAAAAGCAGTTAGAACATCTGTCTGAAGAAGATATAGGAATGGATAATGAGGATATCATTAGAGAAATCAAAACCACAATGAGATATTACTTCATGCCCACTGGAACGGCAATAATTAAAAAGACATACTAACAAGTGTTGGTGAGAGTATGAAGAAATTAGAACCCTCATATATTGCTAGTGGGAATATAAAATGGTACAGTCATTTTGGAAAACCTGTCATATGGCCTAGCAATTCCACACCTATATATATACCCAAGAGAAATAAAAATGTTATGTCCACACAGATTTGCATATGAATGTTCTTAGGAGTGTTGTTCATAATAGCCAGAACATGGAAACAACCTGAGTGTCCCTCAGCTGATGAATGGATAGACAAAATGTGGCATATTCATTCAGGGTAGTATTACTCAACAATAAAAAGGAATGAAGTACAGGTAGATACTACAACATGGATGAACCTTGAAACATTGTGCTATGTGAGAGAAGCCAGTCACAAAGTATGTATATTATAAGATTCCATTTATATAAAATTCCCAGAATAAACAGAAAGAAGATTATTAGTTGCCTAGGGCTGGGGTAGAGGGTGGAGAATATGGAGAGTGACTTCTGCTGTACTCTTTAAGCAGTTGAATTGTATGTCATATAAATTATATTTCAGTAAAGCTATTTAAAAAGGCAGCTAATGGAAAACTGTCCCATTACCTATAAAGGAATGAATTTGGAGTGATAGCTTGACTTCTTAATAGCTTCTGTTAGCCAGAAGATGGCTGAGAAAAATATCTCTTAGCCTAGAAGATTACTTTTAATACTGAGCAACAATATTTAAAAAAAATGAAGTTGAGATAGTTTTAGACAAAAATTGAGTTTGCCACCAACAAAATCCTACTAAAAGAAATTTAAATGTTTCTTTTTAGGCAAAATGAGATTCCTGACAATATCTGAGATTCAGGAATGAATAACAAACAAAGCTTGTGACAAATGTGGGGGTAAATCTAAACAAACATGGACTGTAAAAAAGTAATGATGAGTTAAAAACAAAACAGGGAAGAAATGAAATAAATGACAATAATGTGTATGTTAAGGGGATGGTGGCTGAACTTGAAGTGTCTCAAGATCCTTCTATTATTCAGAAGGAATGTAAGCATAGATTGACTTTAGACTTAGGTAAATTAAAAATGTAAGCATGCTATACTTTCTAGGGTAGTAACCTAAAGATTAGAAATGAATGAAATAAACATAAAATAAATATAAATAAAGGTATAACTTTTAAATGAGTAGAGGCAAAAAAATAGAATAGGAAAAAAAGGCATTCAATAGGCAAGAAGGAAAAGAGAAAAATAGAAATGGCAGTATATTTAGAAAGCACAAGGGAAGATGGTTGAAATAGAATCACATATATCTGTAATGATAATAAATGCTCCATTTAATTTTATCAGACAGGATAAAAGAATCTAGGTATATGCTATTTACAAGAGACATCTACAACATAAAGTTAATGATACATTGAAAGTGAAAAAAGACACACCAGCCAAATATTAACTGTGAGAAAGCTGTCATAGACTTTATGGCAAGGAAACCATTTTCAAGCCAATAAATATAGACTATTGCACTCAATAATTTTTGGATACAAATTCTTTTCTAGCACACAGTACACAAAGTACATTTATGATAACTGATCAAATACTCTGTCATAAAGCAAGACACCAATTTCAAATGATTAGTATCAAACAGGCCTTATTCTCTATTCATAAAGCAAACAAGCGAGAAAAAACACAAAGATAGCTAGGAAACATCCATGTATTTGTAGAGTAAAAAGCATACTTCTAAATTATTTGTGAGTTGAGGAATAGATAATAATGGAAATCAGAAAATGTTTACAATGGGACAGTAATGTCAATACTACATATCAAACTAGTGGCATCAAGCTAAAATGATACTGACAGGGAAATTTATAGTCTTAAGACATATATATGGAAAGAAAAAAGAGTGAAAATTAGTGAGATAAGTATCCAAGTTACAAAGTTAGGAAAAGAAAATAGAATAAACCCAAAGAAAGTAGTAGGAAGGAGATAATTTTAAAAATAAGAGCACAAATTAATGAAATAGAAAATAAGAATGTTTGGGACACTGGAAGAAAGTAGTACGAAGGAGATGATTTTAAAAATAAGAGCACAAATTAATGAAATAGAAAATAAGAATGTTTGGGGCGCCTGGATGGCTCAGTCTGTTAAGCGTCTGCTTTTGGCTCAGGTCATGATCCCAGGGTCCTGGGATCGAGCCCCACATCAGGCTCCCTTTGCTCCTCCCCGCTGCTTGTGATCTCTCTCTCTCACGCTCTCTCTCTCTCAAATAAATAAAATCTTAATAAATAAGAATGTTAGATGATCAACACAGCCAAAATTGGCTCTTTGAAGAGATTACTGAACATGACATGCCTCTGTTGAGCCTCATCAAGGAAAAGAGAATAAAATTAAAGAATGTTAGGAGTGAAATAGAAGACAGTCATAGATGCCATAGATATTGAAAGATAAATGGGTTTTATGAAAATTTCCTGCTAAGTAAAGGTGAATATTTAGATAAAATGAAAAATTTTTAGGAGAAAAAACTTATCAAAATTGACTGAAATAATTAGAAACACGACTATTCCTATAACCATTAGATAGATGAAGTAAGTAACAGTCTTTGGAGAAAGAAAGTGCCAGCTGTAGATGGTTTTACTGGTGATTTCTAATGAATGTTAATGGGAAGAAAATTTCAGTTTTACACAAACCATTTCGGAACACATTAAATGAGTGAGCACTCCATTTAGAAGGCAAAATTGGTACTAAAACCTGACAAGGACAGCATCAAATGGGAAAATTACAAACCAGTCTTATCCATAAACATAGATGAAAGATCCTGACAAAATATTAGTAAGCTGAATCCAGTAACATATAAAAAATACAATGCATCATGACTAAGTGGGGTTTTTCATAGTCGTTAAGGAGAGCTGAGCTTTTTAAAAATCCATTAATGTAATTCATTACAATAACATATTAAAGGTGAAAAGTGTGATAAATCATGAGAAGCAGAAAAAATGTTTATTAATATTAAACATTCCTTAATGATTAAAAAAAAACAACTCTTGGCAACGTTGTAATAAAAGGGAACTTTCTGAAACTTAAGAGTTCCTATAAAAAGCTAAAGCAAACATCAAACTTAATGATGAAACATTGAAATTCTTCCCTTTAAGCCCAGGAACGAGATGAGGGAGCCAGTTTCTTTTAGGCCTCTGTCTTTCTGCATGGCCTCTCCATGTGGCTGATATGGGCTTCTTCACAGTATGATGGTCAGAAGGTGGTTGGACTTCTAACATGGTGGCCAGCTTCCAGCTGGAGGAGGCTAAATGTGCCTGTCCTCCTACAGACAAGGACCAGAACTGATACTTTGGCTGCATTTACAAGTTGAAATTAGTCACAGTTTAGCCCAGGTTCAAGAGGAGGGTAAACAGACTCCACCTCTAGTTGTGAGTACAGCGTGTGTGTACAAGCAGGAAAAACTTGGTGACAGGCATCTTTGGAGATCATCTATCACAACTATCAGGCTGGTAAAAATGTGGAAGTCTGGTGACATGAGATATTGGCAAAGATGTGGAGTGATTGGCATATTTACACACTGCTTGTGACCCTGAAAATGAATATAACAGCACTGGTAAACATTTTGGTGTTACCTAGTAAAGTTAAAGATGTGCATACTATGTAGTCCGGCAATTTAACTCCTAGATCATTTTTGCTGTGTGTACCATGTGATAAATATAAGAATGTCCAGAATAGCACTTTTTGTTCTAGCAAAAAACCTGGAAACAACCCAAAATGTCTATTAATAGCAGAATGGGCAAATAAATTGTGGTGGAGTCTTACAGTGGAATTCTGTACTTCAGTGAAAATGAATAAATTGTATGTACAATAACATGATTTAATCTTAAGGACGTAAGATTGAGTAGGAAAAAGGAAAGTACAAAAAAAAAAAATACACAGAACAAATGAAGTTGAAATGCAAAATGTGTATGTAAAAACAAGCAAGGAAATGACAAACACACAATTTAGGGTGGTAATTATTTCCGAAGGTGGGGAGGAGATAGAAATGATTGGGACATAGATAATTCTAATGACCTTTTTTTGGTGACTCGAATGATGGATGTTTCTTATATTATTTTTCCTTATACTTTGCATAATTGTATGTTCTTTTGTGTCTTCTCAGTATGTAATATAAACAAAAAACCTTTAATGCTTACTTTTTTTGGTTGGGGGTGAGGATTCTTTTTTTGTCAAATGATTGCCTTGAATGATCATTTCCACTGTGGAGTAGCAGAGAAGGACCAGGGTATGTTTTCGGTTAATTACCTTTATTAGCAGCCTGTTGACCTTTCTTAGGATCATGCTGAATAGTCTATGTTGTTTCATGGATGGGGAGTAGGTCTGACTAGGAAGCCTTCATTCCATTGTGAACTTTGGTTCTTGGTGGGGTGGAAGGTCAGTTTGCTGACCTTACCTGTTTTCTATACTCTTGGCCACCTTTACAGAGCCTCCCCAGACCCATAGGGACTTCCAAGGCCATCTTTTTAAGCAAACTCATGGCTTGCCTTGTTGGATTAATGATCATTGGCTATTGAAAATTAAGAGAAATCAGCAGTTCTCAAATGTAAAGAGTAGAAACTGTGGCTTCTAATTTCTTGCAATGTTGTTGTTTCACAGATTGATCAACTGAAGCAGGAGCTTTCAAAGAAGGAGTCAGAACTTCTTGCCTTACAAACAAAGCTTGAAACCCTTAGCAATCAAAATTCAGATTGCAAGCAACACATTGAAGTGCTTAAAGAGTCGCTTACTGCCAAAGAACAGAGGGCTGCCATCCTTCAGACCGAGGTAAGGCACTGTTTCACGATTCCAGGCAGCAGACGTTGAGTCGATAGAAAATATCCTACCTGGACAGCTTTCTTTAGAAGATCCCTTATCCAAACCCTTGGGGCCAGATGTGTTTTGGATATCAGATATTCCAGGGATTTTGGAAAGGTAAGACCCATATCACAGATTGCATAACACTCCCAGTGTGGATGCAGCAATACCCTGTAACAAATACATGACTATTTGTGCAGAAAAAAAATTCCTCACACTAAAGTAGGATAAGTAAAGACTGTATAAGTAGCACCCTATTAGTTCATGTCAGGTTGTGCCACCAAAAGAGTTTGTTTCACACTGGAATTTTTTTTTCATTTTCAGAGTTTTTTAGATTTGGGAACCATAAATAAATGGTTGGATCTAGAATGGTATTATCAAAAATCATAAAAAAGTCGGAATGTCATCTATCTTACTTGCTGTGTATCTGTAGGTCCCTCTCTGTGATTCCAGGGCTTTCTTACTTCCTAAAGAGTATCCTCAATTTTTAAGATTCTTTTACCCATTGAAGAAAGTTGATATTGTGTGAGTTACTTAAAAGAAATGTTGGTTTATTACTTCTTATTCATACTTAAAAGAAAACCAAATACATGTTACTATCCTATTTCCTTGCTTTTCCTCATTGGATTATATCTTTGAGTGTGCCAAGAAAGGCAAAACACAAACTAGTTATGTAAGTAAAACAGTTGCCAGAAAATAAATTATTGCATGTGGACAATAGCAAAGAATGTGGTGAATCTCCCTGATTTTTTGTGTTGAGGTAGTATGTTATGTGGGTTACTGTAGGAGAAAGCAGTCTAGTTGAGTTACATGTTTTCTCTTGTGCTCTTTAAGCCATGTCTTTGTATATGTTTTTGGGTCTGTGGGGAGGTTTAGATTTTCCTTGGAGTTAATGGGGCCATTGAGTAGGCCTATGCCCTCAGTCAAGGTGCAGCAGAGTGTCCAGAGGTGAAAGGAAACAACTTCCAGATTGGATGGGTCTTGGCATGAATGTGACTCAGCCCCTATGCACCTGACACTGGCTCATAGGCAGTTATTAGATCACTGCAAACCAAAATGATCACTTTGGCCTTGATGTAGATATCTCACATTTAAGAAATATCATGTTCAGTTCTGTATAGTTTCATTGTGAATTTGGAAGCATGAATATTTTATTTTGCACAGCAAAAATTTGAACTATGCCATAAATTGGATGACAGCTTGTATCTCTTTTGAAGAGGCTGCAGTGAATAGTATGTAGAACAGTGCTAATACTGTAGCCACTAGCCACATATGGCCAATCAAATTTAACTAAAATTCGTAAAATTTAAAGCGTAGTTTCTTAGTCACACTAGCCATATTTCAAGTATTTAAAAGTCACATGTGGCTAGTGACTAGTGTATGAGAAAGCAAGCTATAGAACATTTCTGCTATCTAGCACTTGTCTAAATAGGGATTAAAAACTATGGCTTATGGGACAAATCCTGCTTACTGCCTGTCTTTATAAATAAAGTTTTATTAGAAGACAGCCACACCCTGTCATCTATGTATTGTATTTGGCTGCTTTTGGGCAGCAGCAGCAGAATTTAATAGCAATAGAGACCATCTGGCCCTTAAAGCTGAAAATACTTACTCTCTGGCCCTTTACAGAGAACGTTTGCCAAGCCATGGCATTGTGATTTTGTGGGAAGAGGGTTGCATGGGAATTAAAATGTCCTCTGTCTAGCAGTCGTACTCTGAACAGGGCCAGATAGTTTGCTGACCCCTGTTGTAGAACAAGGTTTAAGTTTATTTTCACAGTGGTTATTCACAACACACGGTTGTCTTGGGTTGGCAATAATACCTGCACTACTAATAAAGTTAGTGTAATTCTGTTGCTGTGTATTAGGTAGAAGGAAATTTGAGAAGCAAGGCAATCTGCTGTGGTATTGCTTGAACTGGGAATGGGGCTTCTTGATGGTTCCTTTCTAGCAAGCAAGAAAGAAAAGTCAGCTCAAAAAAGCTTATTAGCTTCCTCTCATTACCTTACGCTGATGAGTGCTGTATCCCCCGGCCTCTTTCCCTTTCCTTATACTCTCCCCTGTATTTTACTCTTCTCGAATTAATGTAGTCCAAATCAGACCTATACATTTTTCATGAAAAAGACAGTGGTAGCATTATGTGGATAGCTTCCGTCCCATGTTCAATAATTAAAATGACCCAATAAAGAGATGGTGCTTTGAAGTAGAAAAAAGTATTCTGCGTGTGCAGAGAAAGTGAGATGATTTTCTAGTTTCCTGCTTTGAAGTTGGGAGTGGGAGATTAATGATTTTATCAGCTGGAAACATCCAAGGCAATTTCTTTTGTCTTTTTTTCTTCTTTTAAAATCTTTGTAAATGGAAATGGAGAATGTTACCTAATGATGTCCATCTCTTAGGGGAAGCAATTGAGGTTGAAATTAGCTCTAATTGTTGGATCATAAGCAAAGGATTTTTGGCAGCAAGGTAAAGTACATTAAAGTGATTTTCCCACTTCTTCGAGAAACAGACAGAAATACGAGTCTCCCTACCTAACATGTGGTGGGTTAGTGGGTGAGTCAGTGAATGAGATATGTTATGTTTTGTCATGCCCTACAGTGAAAGACCTGAGTTTACACTCATATGAAAGATATGGTGCTCATTCTTGGAGGAGGTTATAAGTGATAGGTCCTTCCAATTAGATTCCTGAGTCATTCCTGAAAGCTCTTGCCAAAACAGGAGGGCCATCCCTAGAGTGGGAAGAGCATGTTGGTTTATCTGGAAAATCTGTACCATCAACTGGGTTTTGGCTACTCTTAGAATAGGGTATAAAGGACAGATGCCACTGGCTTAAAGTTTCATCTGTGGACAAGGAAGGCTTTTGCTACCAGGAGATTTGCGTTTAGGAGGTAGTGGGATGAAGGGTGGGACGAGGGGTGGGAGGCAAGTTGTCTGGGTTTGTGGCTATGTGGCTTGGCTCCTGGATTGGTTTGTTTTAACTTGTACAAATGCCCAGATGCTTTTTGACATGTGTGCAATAAATCAATGGAATAATAATTACACATACACAGAGATATACCACATAGCTCTTAACATAACATTTTACTTTTTAAAATAGCTTCAAAGGATCCCAAGGCCAAGTTTCTTATTTTGCTACTTCCTTGATGTTTTCTTCGTACCAACTTACCCCATCCACCAACACATTAATTCCATGGCAATAGAGATAATCATGAATTGGCTTTTTTAGCATCTTGATTTTTCTGGATTTCAATGAATAATTACCAACATATCCAGAAATTAGGAAGACGAAAGGCCTAGCTATTATTCTATGATCTGAAGTAAAATGTATGAAGAACATAGCATTTGGAGGTGGGAGACGTATGGACATGCCTTTGCCTCCCCATTTCGTAACTGCAGTATGAATAAGACTTAAACTTGTCTGAGCCTCCATGTCTTGATCTATGAAATGTCAGTCACTTTGCCAGCCTGATGCATCTATGGGAAAAGTGTTTTGACTCTAGGAAGGGGTTCTAGTTGTAAATTATGCTATCATCATTGCTGTTGTTATTATTATTACTATTGTATATCAGGGATGTTTGGGGAATCCTCTACCTCACTTCTTTTCTTATCATGCATTCTGTGCGTTATGCCTCTGTGGGTCTCCTTTGAGCTTGTGTGTCTGCATTTACCAAGCCAAGAGTTTTATATTTTAATTGAGTTAGTTTTTTATGTCTTAGAATGATAAAGAGAAATGAAGAAAATGTGGAAATGCCATCTATTTTGTTCTGTCCCCATATTAAGAGACTTCCTTCGGTTTTCTGGCAGGTCCACTTTTCCCCAGCCCAGCGTGATTTCCAAACTGCCCGGCGTGGCAACTCTTTTGCATGTTTTCTGGAAGATGTGTTATATGACAGTGGCATATAATGCTTGCTTTTATACTCATTTCTGTTCCAAATAGATCTGGTAAGAGTTCTACTTGTTTAAAAATAAACACTTTAGAACCTATTAACAAATATTTAGGGGTTTGTGTTCATAACAGCAGGGGGCAACATATGTAGGTTAGGTTAGTCACAGCTCCATAGCAAAGGTCCATAACATTTTTGTTTTTATTTTTTAAAGATTTATTTATTGGAGACAGAGAGAGTGAGAGAATGGGGAGGGCGGGAGGAGCAGAGGGAAAGAATCTCAAGCAGACTCCCCACTGAGTGTGGAGCTGATGGGGGGCTTGATCTCATGACCCTGAGATCATGACCTGACCCAAAATCAGGAGTTGGACCTTTAACTGACTCAGCTACTGAAGCGTTCCTTGTTTTTGTTTTTAAAATGTAAGCGGTATAAAAGAGAATTCATGCAGTCTATAGGCTCACTCATTAGAAAAATTTACCTTGGCACACATACATTTATAGTCACTTGCAATCATGTATATAATTTTAGGCAATTTACAGATGCTCTGAAGCATTTCCAAGAATTTCACATTGAAGATCCCTGCCCTGTAGGTTTCGTGCATTTTTTCATTCAACACATAATTTTTGCATGACTACTATTGCTGGATATGATGCCTGCCTTTATCTAGCCAACAATTCATTGGGTATATGGATATATGATAGGGAACTAACTGATTTATAGTACCATGAATGCTCAGTGATTTCATTATCACTGGTTGACAATAATTCCACTTAAAATCTTAATTGGACTTCATCTTCCTTCTATTGTTTAAAAGCAGATAAGTAAAGGAAGGAAAGAAGATAAAAAGAAATACATGTTTAGTTCCTTTGAAGATAAAGCATGCAAGCTGTATGAAATGTCCATTTATATCTCATATAATTGAAGGCTAATGTTGCTAAGGTGATTACTATGATAATGTTAAGATTTTATGTTTTGAATAAAGGTGGTCCTTTTTGAATCCACACTCAAGCAACTTGGCTTTCCTTGAGAAAGGGAATGGTATTTATGGGGTTACAGACACTCTGCTGGATTATTTTACGAGTTACTTCA